TGGTGTCAATTCGTCCAGTGGTTTTTGAGTTATGTTAATCCCACAAACGAACATGACATTTTTATTTATATATATTACATTTATTATTTTACAGTTATTACTGTTATTATTACATTTATTATTTCACTCTCTTTATTATTATTGGAAGGATACATACGCGCATCTACATTGAAGAAGGTTAGAATAATGGTTTAATCAAAGTTGGACAGTCTTATCTTAAATTACAGTTTTATGTAAATATTCAAAAACATTTAACCTTCCGATGCCTCAGTTAATGTAATTGCATTGGTATCTATTTATATTTTGAAATTGACCAGTAGCTGCTGCATTTCGCACCAGTTACCCCATTTTTTTGTCGTAAAATTAGATACCTCGGCTTATATTTGGGTCAGCTTATACTCGAGTATATACGGTAATTGTTTTTTCTTAAGTTTGCTTCAGATGAATAGATTTCATCTCATTTTCAAGACTGATGGGGGATTGCCGGATCTGGTTGCTACAGGCACCTGTCCAGAAGCACTTCAAGTGGCCAGCTTCTGTTCAAAGGACATTTACCATAATGCCAAGTTTTTAAATTTTGTTTATGTTTTTAAATCCATATTAACTGTACCCTCAACTTGTTTCTGACACAATAAATAATAAATAAATAAGGCACCTATCATTAAAAGGGCAAAGATTGCTATTCTTTATGAGATGTGCTGATAGTGCTTTGTTCATCCAGTCTGAAGATAATTTGCTTTAATGTTCTTTTTGCAGGACATATTAAATATGAGATACATCAGCACCCGAGGAGGAGCTGGAACCACTGATTTTGAAGGTGTTCTTTTTTCTGGGTATGCAATTGATGGCGGCCTTTTCATGCCTGAAAGCATCCCAGTCTTGGACTTCGACACACTTAAGACCTGGAGTACCTTCTCCTATCCGGAATTGGTTAAACAGCTATGCTCTATCTTCATATCACCCGAACTCATTCCTAAACCAGAGCTAAGTGGTAAGTTAAATGTAGCTCAGTATTGAGACAAGAGGGTCTTAAAAACAGTTACAAACCTTTAATTTATTTTTTTTTGCACCCCCATGGTTCTTGGATTGTAACTTCCATGATTCTTCACCATCACCTATGCTGGCTGGAGGCAATGGGAGTTGCAGTTCAGCAGCATAGAATAGAATCTATATAAATAAAAATGTAATGTTTGTTTGTGGGATTAACATAACTCAAAAAAACACTGGACGAATTGACACCAAATTTGGACACAAGACACCTATCAGGCCAACGAGTGACCATCACTCACAAAAATTGATTTTGTCATTTGGGAATTGTAGTTGCTGGGATTTATAGTTAATCTACAATCAAAGAGAATTCTGAACTCCACCCATGATGGAATTGAACCAAACATGTCACACAAAACTCCCATGACCAACAGGTAACAGTAGAAGGGTTTGGTGGGCACTGACCTTGGGTTTGAGAGTTGTAGTTCACCTACATCCAGAGAGCACTGTGGACTCAAACAATGATGGATTTGGACCAAAGTTGGCATGAATATTCCATATGCCCAAATATGCACACAAATGGAGTTTGGGGGAAATAGACCTTCACATTTGGAATTTGTAGTTACTGGGATTTATAGTTCACCTACAATCAAAATGCTCCTAGCTGTATTCATTATCTCCTTTCATCTTCCTTCAGACCTGGTTGATAAGGCATTCAGCAGATTCAAACACAAGGAAGTTATCCATCTGTCAAGATTCAAGAATGGCTTGAATGTTTTGGAGCTCTGGCATGGGCCAACATATGCTTTTAAGGACCTGTCCTTGTCCTGTACTGGGCAGTTCCTGCAATACTTTCTGAAGAAAAGGAAGAAGCATGTCTCAATCTTAGTGGGTATGTTCCCAGTTGGAAATGATGTGTGAATTTGCATGCAATAGAGTCACACCTCACACATTTCTCATTTCCATTTCCTAGATGAGAATGTAACCCTATTGTTTGCTGTGTATTGCACAGCATTACTATCATTACCATTATATTTGTTTACATCCCATTTTTTCGCAGTTGAGAACTTGGAGCAGCTCACAATAAATTGAAAAGCATATCATTAAAAATCCACAAAATAGAAAAGATATAATGGCATTAAGCAATAAAAAGATTGAAGCCAGATGATGATGATGATGATAATTATGATGATGATATGCAGGTCCCAGAGTGAATTAAGCTTCACAGTTATGTCATCTTATATTCCTTGATTAGTATGATTCATCTTCATAATATATCATTCTTCATAATAAACAACATGGTACTATGTCAATAACACTAATTGAATCAAAGCAGAATTTTATTCTGAATGCAAATGTGCTGCCATTGCCTATATATGTAGACTTAGACGGCTTTTAATAGGGTCCAATTAATAGAGGAGAGTCCCATTAATTAATAGAGGAGAGTCCCATTAGTAACCATGAGACCTATGTACACAGAGGCAGTTGGCCACTGAATACTGGTTAGTACTGGTATGTCTCTTCCTCCTTACTTGATGATGGTACTGCTGAGGACAATTTCAAGCTAAAGTTCTTATTTTTTGCCGCTAGCCATTTTTGTTGGCGTGTGTGGTATGTCTAGGATTTGTAATGAAAAATAATACCACCCCTGGTGGTACAATGAGTTAAACCCTTGCGCTGCCAGGACTCCTGACTGAAAGGTTGGCAGTTCAGATCTGACGAGTGGGGTGAGTTCTTGTCTGTCAGCTCCAGCTTCTCATGCAGGGAGGTGTCTCAAACCCTCAATGGCTTTTCACTAGATGGTTGGTTTATTTTATTTATTTATTTACAGTTTTTATATTCCGCCCTTCTCACCCCGCAGGGGACTCAGGGCGGATTACAGTATACACATATATGGCAAACATTCAATGCCAGTTGACAGACAACGAATACAGACAATACACAGAGGCTATTTAACTTTTTTCTGGCCAGTCGTCTCCGACTCTTCGTGACCTCATGGACCAGCCCACGCCAGAGCTCCCTGTCGGCCGTCACCACCCCCAGCTCCTTCAAGGTCAGTCCAGTCACTTCAAGGAGGCCATCCATCCATCTTGCCCTTGGTCGGCCCCTCTTCCTTTTACCTTCCACTTTCCCCAGCATCATTGTCTTCTCTAGGCTTTCCTGTCTCCTCATGATGTGGCCAAAGTACTTCAACTTTGTCTCTAGTATTCTTCCCTCCAATGAGCAGTCGGGCTTTATTTCCTGAAGTGTAGACTGATTGGATCTTCTCGTGGTCCAAGGCACTCTCAGAAATTTCCTCCAGCACCACAGTTCAAAAGCATCCATCTTCCCTCGCTCAGCCTTCCCTATGGTCCAGCTCTCACATCCATAGATTACTATGGGGAATACCATTGCCTTGACTATGCGGATCTTCGTCGCCAGTGGCATGTCTCTACTCTTCACTATTTTATCGAGATTGGACATTGCTCTCCTCCCAAGAAGTAAGCGTCTCCTGATTTCCTGGCTGCAGTCTGCAGCTGCAGTAATCTTTGCACCTAGAAATACAAAGTCTGTCACGGCCTCCACGTTTTCTCCCTCTATTTCCCAGTTGTCAATCATTCTTGTTGCCATAATCTTGGTTTTTTTTATGATTAACTGCAACCCAGCTTTTGCGCTTTCTTCTTTCACTTGATTAGAAGGCTCCTCAGCTCCTCCTCGCTTTCGGCCATCAGAGTGGTGTCATCTGCATATCTGAGGTTGTTAATGTTTCTTCCAGCAATTTTCACCCCAGCCTTGCATTCATCAAGCCCCGAACATCGCATGATGTGTTCTGCATACAAGTTAAAAAGGTTGGGTGAGAGTATGCAGCCTTGCCATACGCCTTTCCCAATCTTGAACCAGTCTGTTGTTCCGTGGTCAGTTCTGACTGTGGCTCCTTGGTCCTTGGACAGATTCCTCAGGAGAGAGACAAGGTGCCTTGGGATGCCCATCCCACTAAGAACTTGCCACCATTTATGATGATCCACACAGTCAAAGGCTTTAGAATAGTCAATGAAGCAGAAGTAGATGTTTTTCTGAAACTCCCTGCCTTTCTCCATTATCCAGCGGCTATTGGCAATCTGGTCTCTCGTTCCTCTGCCTTTTCTAAACCCAGCTTGTACATCTGGCAACTCTCGCTCCATGTATTGCTGGAGTCTTCCTTGCAGGATCTTGAGCATTACCTTACTGGCATGAGAAATAAGGGCCACTGTACGAAAGTTTGAGCAGTCTTTCGCATTTCCCTTTTTTGGTATGGGGATATAAGTTGATTTTTTCCAGTCTGATGGCCATTCTTGTGTTATCCATATTTGAGCCTCACACAGAGGCTATTTAACTTTTTTCTGGCCGCCAGGGGAGCTGCTGCTTTCATCGTCCATCAGCGACACCGATGAAGTTCTTCCGCATTCCACATTCCCCGGAGTTTTCTTTATGGCCTCATAAATTAGTTAATTTAGCCTCCCACACAAGATGGTACCTTATTTTCCTACTTGACAGATGCAACTGTCTTTCGGGTTGCAAAGGTCGACAACAGGCTACACAATAGCTGGACACCCACTCCAACCCGGGCTGGCTTCGAACTCATGACCTTTTGTCAGAGTGATCTTAATGCAGCTGACACTCAGCCAGCTGCGCCACAATCCCGGTAATGTTCTTGCAGATGGCCAATTCTCTCGCACCAGAAACGACTTGCAGTTTCTCAAATCGCTCCTGACACACACACACACACACAAACCTTTTCCAAGTTATACTATACTATTGATATGCTGTTTACAAGTCTGCAAGGCAGAGGATTATTTATTTATTTATTTATTTACAGTATTTATATTCCGCCCTTCTCACCCCGCAGGGGACTCAGGGCGGATTACAATGTACATATACATGGCAAACATTCAATGCCATAGACACACAACATATATAGACAGACACAGAGGCAATTTAACATTCCAGCTTTTCTTGAGGGTATTCTGGCCACCAGGGGAGCTGTCCCTTCACCGACCATTTGTGACACTGATGAAGTACTTCCTCATTCTTTGCATGCTTGCTGGAGATTTTTATGGCCTCGTAAATTAGTTAAATTAGCCTCCCCACATAAGCGGTACCTAAATTTCCTACTTGACAGATGCAACTGTCTTTTGGGCTGCAAAGGTCGACAGCAAGCTACACAAAATTGGTTGGAAGCTCACTCCAACCCGTGCTGGCTTCGAACTCCTGACCTTTCGGTCAATAATCATCTTAATGAAGCTGACTCCCAGCCAGCTGTGCCACAGTACTTACTCTTTATATATGTGTGTCTGTGTCTGTGCCTGTATGTGTATATATTTTATTTATTCTTCTCGACCTCCGAGGAGGGGTTAACAACAGAGAATCAATATACAAATAAACTAAAGCATAATAACATCATAGTATATTAATACATTAAGACACATTAAAATACAGATCAGGAATTACATAAAGCCAAGTCGTCAAGGTAAATCACAAATTCACCACCATCCGCCTTGTGGTCAACAGTTATTGATTCGATCATCCATCTGAGAATGATCGAATGATCGAATCTGAGCCAAGATTTTACCATCTTTCTGAAAGTCAGGAGGGAGGGGGCAGATTTGATCTCTATCGGGAGAGAGTTCCACAGCCGAGGAGCCACCACCGAGAAGGCCCTGTCTCTTGTCCCCACCAGACGCGATTGCGAAGGTGGTGTGGTATACACACACACACACACACATTTATCAAGTACAAAGCTGCTTGTCACCAAGCATTGAAAAATGCCCTTCATGGGCATGTCATGTTGCTTTGTCAGATTAAAAAGTGAGTAAAGTGAGATTTCATATGTTCTTTACTTCACAACTACTAATAAGAACTAGTATCTTTATACAATGGTGGATAGGAATTCACATCCCTATTTAGGAATATTTACATCCATATTTAGGACGTATACCTTTTGACTAGGCTTACCCTCTTCAACTAGAAGATGGTCCCTCAACCTAATATATGTTACACTGGCAATGTCAGGACTGAAGGAACAATAGGAAGACAGTGATGGAGAGAAAGAAGGAAGGACAGGGTAAATACGAGGGGTATTTTTTAAGTAAGGTCCGTTTGAACATAAGTACACAACGAAAGTTTATTTCAAAAAAGTAAATTTATTTTCAGAAAGTACATACTTCACTCTATTTTTCAACATAGTTGCCAAGTTTGTTCAAACACTTATCATACCTCTGAACCAATTTTAAAATACCCTCTTCATAAAAACTTGCCGCCTGCTCCGATAACCAAGAGTTCACTGTAATCAAAGAAGGGCGACCAGAGCGGTCCTCATCATGGACGTTATTACGGCCGTCTTTGAATTGTCGTACCCACTTACGCACTTTGCTTTCACTCATAACAGTATCACCATACACTTCACAAATCTGACGATGCGGAGGGTGAGTTGATAGTCTTAAACATTTTTAAAGCACAGAACAGAACTGTACAGGTTAGCTACAGAGCGGAAACTGAGCACAGTTGTTCCCAAGGCATGCCGGTACACGACGCACACGCTCGTTGCGGTATGCGCGCGAACTACTAGTGTCTACAACAAAACGGACCTTACTAAAAAAATACCTCTCATAGCATTAAAATCCTATAGAGATGAAAAAGAATCATAAAAGCAGATCCCATCTTGCATACAGGGGTGAAATGTTGTTCAGGGAGTTCGGGTATTTGAATGCCATGAATTACAGAAACCCTTTTTCAAAACTGATTCATTCAATCGTTTAATATAAGCATTGACTCCAGTGCTTTTAAAACAGGAACTTCAGGAGATACCGGCAGCTCAGCAATAGAAAGTATCCGGGGTGACAAAAATATGGATATATTTGTTCTGTTGCCCCTTGGTCTTTGCAGCCAAGTTCAAGAACTACAGATGACAACTGTGATTGAAGAGAATGTCCACGTTTTTCTCAGTAAGTAATTTAGCAGGGGCTCTTTTCTACCGTGCTTGAAAGACTTTCCTTTATAAGCTGTCTATAAATCTTATAAACAAACAAAAATACTCTAGATTTTGTGTGCTTGGATTTTCTGGAAAGCCTGAATTTGTGACCTGAATTTGTGTACTTCCGCATTCCCCGCATGCTTTTTGCTGGAGTGCTTGCTGGAGTCTTTTTTTATGGCCTCATAAATTAGTTAATTTAGCCTCCCCACACTTTAAGGTGGTACCTAATTTTCCTACTTGACAGATGCAACTGTCTTTCGGGTTGCAAAGGTCGACAACAGGCTACACAATTGGTTGGAAACCCACTTCAACCCGGGCTGGCTTTGAACTCATGACCTTGTTCTTGGAAGAAAAAAGCCACAGCACTAGGGATGAAAGTAGATGAAGTCATGGCTGGTTTAGTAGTGTGACATACCAACCTTTAGGAATCAAAAAGGACCAAGAAGAATTGTACTTATTGTATTGTACTTTAATTTTATATCCATGTTAATATTTAATTTTTTAATATTTGTATTTGTTTTCTTTTAAATTGTTAGTAGATTATGTAGTTGTTAGCCTCCTTGAGTTCCTATGGGGAGAAAGTTGGGATATAAATAATGTTAATGATAATAATAGTAACAATAATAATAATCCAGTGCAGGCCCAATCTCATGCATTTGTGCCTTCACTCACATTTGACTTCACATTTTCTAAATCTAGGAAGGTCTTTGATTTAGTGTCAAGCAGGGTCAACTCCAGAATAGCTTTTGAGGGACTCACCTACTACTAAGCAGATGCCATGTTTTGAATGAAAACATACAAAGCCAAACTCTGTGTGCAACTCCTCATCCCTTTCTCACCTCTCTTTTTCCAGCGGAAGGAAATAGTGATGAAATTGATGAGCCAATCAAAGAATTGTTTGCAGATGTGGATTTCTCAAGCAAACACAAACTAATGAGTCTGAATTCCATCAACTGGTCCAGGATTCTGGTTCAGATTGCTCATTACTTCTATGCCTACTTCCAGTGCGCTCCATCCATGGATAACCTCCCATTGCCAGTTGTGGAAATTGTTGTTCCAACTGGGGGAGGAGGAAACCTTACAGGTTAGTGAATCCTTATAAAATATTTATTTAAAAATATATATATTTATTGAGTGAATTTCAATAATTACAACCAGATAAAACTTGTGAGGAGGGTGTCTTAGGATAATAGGAAAGGGTTTTGGGGTATAAAGGGGGGGGGGTAGGAGAGAGAAAGAAAGAGAAAAGAAAGAAAAAAAAGAGGGGAAAAAATAAAGAAATAAAATAAAATAAAAGCAGGATGGGTCTGGGGGTGTATAGGACTGGCTTAGGGTAGTGGGGGGGGGGGGGGTTTAAGGGGCTGAAAGGTTGTGGGGGGAATTTGTTGACTTCCATGTCTCCATTCCCGGGTCGTGTCATTCTCTTCTTTAAGATAAATCTCATATTTATTCTCATCATGTGGCTTCTCCCGTCTACTCATATCTTGCTTCCTCCTTCCTTCTTTTCTTTACCTATGTCGTCATTGTCTTTAGTTTTCCATTTCCTGGGGGCTTGATATGAAGTCATTGAATAGATTCCAATCTGTCCTCTTAAGCGGTCTTCCTCGTGGGTCTTTTAATGAATAGGTCAGAGTATCCATTTCTTTTATGTCATTGACTTTATTTAGCCATTCTTCTTCTGTGGGTAATTCTCCTAGTTTCCATTTTTTGGCTAAAGCCATTCTGGCCACCGTGGTTAAATAGGTAAGTAGGATGTCTTTATTGGCATCGAGCTCCATCTGTTCGTTGAACATTCCTAATAGGAAATATTCTGGTTTCATTTTTTTAAAATGTAGTATTTTCTTGCAATTTTCATGTATTATTTTCCAACCATCACCCAAGTCAAAAAAGAAGCACCATTAAAGCCTTGGCAGACCGTGCAAAAAGAATCTGT